TATGCTAATGACGAAAAAACCCTTTCCCACTTGCACAATAAACTTCTGACGATTTTTGGTATACAGGAAGTATAGGTGTATCAAAATTAATTAGATTTTAGTAAGATTTTGTATAGATATTGTGTAGATATTGGAAGATATTATCAGATTGCATCGGTAAAAAATAATAGAAACAGTAGCAACTTCAGGCGATTTCCCATCCACATATTCTCTGACGCAAGTGGCACATACCAAAAAGGAATCAAACTCAAAGATTTGTCTCTTTTATTTACACACGCTGGTATACATGGTGTGAGGCATTAGGTTTTGCAATACTAGTCTAACATGTACATACAAAGTTTTACGAAACATATTGGACAGCTAACAAAAATACTTGTCCTTTAAAAATAATAAATTTCAGGTATTATCTTCTCCATTTCATATAAAATGTTCCAATTATATTTACTCTCTATTGTAGTATATATAATTGGACGGCTAAAAAAAAACTTACCCTTTAAAAAATATTAATTATCGGTTATTATCTTCTCTATTACATGTAAAATGTTCCAATTATATTTACGAGTCAATGGCTCAGATGCCCTTCTACAAAAAAATTAAATCACTTACACTCTCCACTAATCTACATACCCTTCACCATTTTATGAAAATCCCAAATAAATCATTCCTAAGCGATCAAAACTAAACAAAAACCCCCCTATGGATCAGTGAACCCATGGGTAAATCTTTAAATTCTATATGTTTCAAATTCGAAAAAAAATATTTTAAAATCATTTTAATCATATTTTGATGATTTTCGGAAAAATATGACAAAAACAGTTTTTTGATTTTTGAAATATTTTTATAAAATTCTATAAATCAAATAAAAAATATTGAATTTTTCAGTTTAATTTTACGATTTTTCGTTTGACAAATAAAATTAAAATAAACAAATGAGAACATTTGAGCTTTAAACATTTCAAATAAGGGCACTTGAGGCAATTACTCCTATATTTACTCCCTATTGATTGAGTATAATGAGGATTTCCTAAGTGTATTCTACTTAGCCGGTTAACAATAATTGTGGCCATGCAAATAAAGTTATATCAAGTTAACAACTAATTGTAAAAAATACATGACCCGGTTACACCAAACTTTGGATATCCAAGTATAGTATTGAGATTCTATAAATTTGTAATATCTTAATGTTGTATTTTCAGTGATTTCTGGGAATGTAAAATGTTTGTTAGATTGAACAAGCACATATGTTGTTGGTTGTATATATATATTAGAGAAGGGTCAAGATACTAGTTTCACTAAACGTTTGCCGGCTAACCGATATCCCATACATCAGATCTCCGAAGGAGAAACATAACCATACCCATCCTAGTAATTTAGACGGTTACTTCAAAGTTTAACCAGCAAAATACCAACCCCAAAAGGATACCCTTTGTTGTAACCGGCCAAAAAAAAATTGTTCCCCACCCCTACACCATGAACCCTAAACCCCAAAACCCATAAGAGTAAACCGAAAATAAATATCGTAAACCCTAAACCCAAACGATTAATCCCTAAACCCTAAACCACTTAACCCTAGACTCTAAAACCTAGACACTAAACAATCAACCCAAAACCTAAAGTAAATACCCTAAACCCTAAACCCTAACCACTAAATCTTAAAACCTCTAACCGTAAACCATATACCCTAACCATTATCCCAAACCGTAACCACTAACCCTTAACCCTAAACCTTTTACACTAACCACTATATTCTAAACTTTCAAAAACCCAAAACTATGATGATAATTAAGCTAACTAAACGGTTAGCTGGAATTCCTATTTATTGTTTGTGAAACATTAAACATTACCGTGTACGAATTAAATTGAATTTCGTACACATGCCAGACACTATAGATGACGGCACTAGTTTGATGAAAGAGGTAATGTCCGCACTAGTTTTTACAATTCAAAAATCTTTTTGGTGTGAGTTAATTAATGTCTGACACTATAGATGACGTGTGGCAGAGAACTTTATTTCTTTGATTTTCTGATTTTTGTAGGGAAACGAAATGAGCTGTTTTGCCTGTAGGGGTACCAGAGACTTTTTAACATGTGAACAGTTATGGTTTTTTCGTTCATTGGCATTTCTCTAAATACAACATCTTCCCTTGGTGTGAGGCCTAATTTCTCTTTTCATTTTTGTTGTGGAAACGCCAAAAATGTCAATTCAAAACAACTAAAAGGGTTTCAACTCCTTTTCAAGAACAAAAATATGGTAAGAAGAACAAAACAGAAACCATTAAACCAAACAAAAAAAAAACAAGAACCAAAAGGATGTACAAGATTCTCTTTTTACTCAATTCCAATCAGTAAAGCTGTAATAAAACCCTAATGATAGAAAGCAAAACTAGACAAAATTAAAAAAAAAAAAGAGGGAGAAAAAGCCCTACATCTGAGTTACCAGAAAAAAAAACCTGGATCTGAAAGCAGAACTTAATTTGATTGTTATTACAAAAAAAAAAAAGAAGCAAAAGAATCCGAGGACAAATGTACTTGTTGGATATACAGATCCGGATCACAGATATATAGAGAACGAGACGCAGAAACCGGCAAATTAATTAAGCCGACATGTCGTTTTTTTTTCAACCCTACTAATTAAAAGCCCTAGTGAGTAAGACGGAGAGTGTGGCTTTGAACGCGACAGATACCAACCCTATAAGAAATAGCAGCAGAGAAAGAACTGTGCGCATCCGGGATCAATGGCGAATTTGTAGGGCTTCCGGCAAATCTTGTTGATTTCTGTTTCTTTTTTTTTTTGTTAGGTTCAAATGGAGAAGTGAGCCATGAAGAGGGAAGTGGCTAAATGTCTTTTTTCTTTGTCAATGCCAACTAGGCGTTGCATCTTAATTGGTTCATTAGGTTATAGAATTTCAAAAATAATTAATTAATTTTTGAATAGTGTAACTTATGAATTTCAAAATTATGCATTGACATTTTACTCATGTTCGAGACTGTTCTTCCCCATTCACTCTCTGCGACGGCTAGATAGCAACAATGCGGATGTGCAGTAAACATGAATGTGAAGTTTCATTTATATGGAAACAAATACATTTTTATTTGAATAAGAAAATCAGTAATTTAGTATATTGACAAGTTATATGCATTAATCAAATTATATATAATGATTATTTCTGATATATATATATACATCATTGAATTGAAGTTTGACCATATTTCATGCTAATTTATATATGTTTTATTCCTATTTGTCAACATATATTTGACTTATTTCATGCAACACTTAAAAAAACAAGAATGTTAATAAATTTCTGAAATTATCAGATACAAATACTACAATAAATATATAATATGCCACTTTCATCGATTTCCCTAGTAAATATAACATTAATAAAAATGCCCAAATATTTTATGCTTCCACACCAAGGATATATATAGGCTTACCTTTCCAGCCATAAATAAAGTGAGGATATGTGTAGTATATAATACAGATGATAACATAATAATAGAGATATTTAAATATATTTTACTATATATTCATCTTGTATATTAAAAACCAGTCTGCATAACACTAAGATTTAGCTTCTTACTAGTTAATACACATTTTACATGCCTTTGTTTCCAAAAGTGGTCATATAGGAAACAAAAATCTTTAAGTCTGAGCCACATGATTCAACCATGCTCTGGTAGAAGCTCACGCAATTCCGCATTCTGGCACCGCAAGGAGATGAAAAATTGTACTACTTAACTCAAGAATAGTAGATGTCTCATTTGCACACAAAATTTTATTAAAAGTTTCTTAAGGAGGAGATAACTTTAAAAAGGACAAATCACCAGTCCTAGACACTAAGTGTCATGTTGATTTTATTTTTCTCCATCTCACTATCTCTAATACAATTATTCCAAAATCCAAAGAATATGATTACATGAAACATATCTACTACACATATCTAATGTACGTTGAGGACTTTTTCGAATTCCCAGGTTAGGTGTACTCGAGAGGTTTGGGTGTGGTGCAAATGTACCATTAAAATTGTCATACCTTCTGTGTTCTCCTATGTTAGTGTCCCATAAATACAAATAAATTACAGCCCTTATTCATCTTTAAGGATATGAAGGATTTACTAATGATTTATCAAACAATAATTTCTAATTGGTGACCATACGAAAACAAGAGGAATGAGGAGGAAAAAAATAATAAGAAGTAAAATAATTGGAACATGAGTAGGAAAATGTATTTATTTTTTCTATTGTTCTAAAATTATCTACGCAAAATTGAAAAAAAATGTGAAATTTGTTTTATCTATAAATGAAACTTCTAGTATAAATAAAGCAAAGCAAAGATTTTCCAAATAAGTAGATATTATTTTCCAATTGTTTAGATTTAAAATAGAAGTCCACATTTTACTAGAAAAAGTACAGAAATGAAGGCTTATCCATGATTGTGCTTATTATTAAAAACGATACTTAGATCTTACATGTATGATCTTAGACCATCCGCAATGGCGGATCCTTACGGGGAATCCTTAGAGAAATATTAATTTTATAATCAATGGGTCCCATGAACAGTTAAGGATTTTATCCTAAAAATCCTTATGTAAGGATTGATCCTTATACTATTCATGGGCTCCACTGCATACGTGGCGGTCCGTGAGTGGTCAGTTTTTCTTTCTTTAAAGAAAAAATCTGAAATATCCTTATATAATCCGAAATACCCCTTTTTCTTTTATTCTAAGGATTCCCCTCAAGGAACCGCCATTGCGGATGCTCTTACACTATTAAAAGGAGGATATCAAGCCCTCTCAGCTATGCCACATCAGATTGAAAAATCAACCATTCAGAAAGCTTAAAAATGCCGCGTCATTGTTGTTGAGTTAGATTGGGCTTATTTTCTTAAAATTTTCATTTCCCCCGACATAAGCCCATGTCGACAAACCTGTATCATCTTCAACCGTCGAGGGTCTCTTTCTCCCCGACTCTTCCACTCCATCTTCTCTAATGTCTGATTTTTTACTCGATTAATCTTGATTGTTTTGTTTCACCTCCCCTCAATACTTCTCCTATATAAATTTATATCTCTAAACCTAAATTCATTCTAAATTGAAAAAAAAAACCTAATCTGCAGAAGCTATGGCCATGAAATATCACCGAAAAAATCAGCTTTCCACCTACAAATCTCCAGTCCTCATCTACTTCTTCTGAAACCATCCCCCAGAGAGAAGGTAAGGTCGGATTTCTAGAGTCTAGCTGAAGATAGATAGAAGCCATCGGCAGCACAACTGTACTTGACGGTGAGATAGCTAAGGCTAAAGCTAAATCGGACTGAGCCATGGAGATTAAGGCGTACTCTTCGATAAATTAGCAAAGGAAGGTGAAAAATGAATTTACCTTTGTTCTGGAGTTGACAATTATGGACAAATGATGAGATTCTTGGGTTTGGTTTTGAAACAAGGCTACTCTTGAGCTTGAGAAAAGACACGAGCGACCATGAACGCGGTATGGGGAAGACCACAGACCACTACATCGTCACACTCTGAACTCCGGGAAGAATTTTCTAACGTGGAGATCAAAGCTAGAGCAGCAATCTCAAGGTTTAGTTTAAACCTTTACTTGCAAAACTAACTTAGAACTTGGTGAAGCCAAGGCCCTGGATTTGTTGCAAGTTATGGAAACTCAGATGATGCTTATTTCTTACGGCAAGCCAAGGCCACCAACCCCCTGAAGATAACGGTCTTAACCAGGTACACATAAGCGATGTTAGTAGAAAGATAGTAGCTTTACTTGGTCATCTATTAGGATTCCTCCTTTATTAGCTTGAATAATTATCTACTTTTAGCTTTCTTATTATAATTTTCTGTGTCTTACAGTTTCTCTATAACACTGCAATGTACACGAGTCCATAGAACCTAAACTCATTGCATAGCTCCACTGCATCAAACGCTGGGTAATATATGTCCTTAAACTTGGGATCTATATGATTCATTTCGTTTTTTTTACAAGAAACGGTTTCAGTTACTAACATTTTTATACAAGTGTAAGTGCGTGCAGGTATATAGAAATTGTGAGCTAATGTTACCTGGGAAGTTTGTGTTGTAGAGAGAAGATGAGTTTTCGTCACTCTGGTGGGAAGAGTATGCAGATTGCAGCCCAGGCTCTCTAGCACAAGTTGTTCCTAAAAATAAATCGAATAAGCAGTTAACTGAAACTCATTTAGAAACTTTTGTGTCTTCTACTCTATATGATGTTGAAGAGGAGAGAGTTGGTGTGCCTGTTAAGGGTGGGCTAAATGAGGTAGCATCGTTCTTTGCGGTGTATTAGAATTTTCATTTAAATGATAAAATGTTGAACATTTAGAGTCCTTATATCTAGCTTATGTTCCTGACCAAGGAACCATAATACTGTTGGTGGACTTGGTGAGGAGGCATTGTTTCATGTATTCTGGAATGTAGATAATCGCCATGTTCTTAGAGTCCAAAAACTGTGACAGAACACTTGGAGCTTCCATATTGTAACAAGGTTAGATATCCCTTTTGTCTGCTCCTTGTATTTTGATTTGATTTGATCTGTTTATGGAGTATTGATAGTTTTGTGAATTGTTCTGATGCCATTAGCAAGTAGCAACGAATGAATGATACAAGTGTAAGGTTCTTTGGTGTGAGGTTGAAATTAGTGTAATGTAACTTTAGAAACATGTGTATGACAAATTTTGTATCTTTCACTATTATATATATATATATATATATATAAACATGTTTTTGCTCTCTTTTCTCTTAGAGATTGTCTTTGAATCTTGATATTTTGATTTGTTGGAGTATTTGAATAAATACTCATAGAGAATTGGGGAGATTACATACAGCTTGTGTGTTGAGAAGAGCTTATATGCTTCTTTTTAGTATTTCTTTTACCATATGCGTTTCGGGTAGGAAGCTTAAATCTGCTTTGATTATACAGTTAGAAACCAGTAGGAATGATTGACACTGTTAGCATTATGGTTGCTTGGAACTAAGGCATAGTCGAATTAGTAACCAGAGGGTTCCTCTGGATTAGGTGTCAATACTCTATAGAGAAGCAAGTCGAAGGAGGCTTTGTTTTTAGTATAGTCTACTACTCTCAATGGCAGAACAAAAGGGAGTGCGTGTACTATAGAAGCATAATCTAAATAACAATGATATAAGAGAGCAAAAAGAGGAGTTTGAGTGACATTGTTGATGGAGAACCAAGAATTGGAGATGAGAAGGATGTGTTTATCATTGCTACCTCTGTATCTAACCTCAGATGTATACTTAACGCTGAGTCTGTCTGGTTTTCCAATCACACAAAGAGTCCATATTTTTGTAACAGGTAGGGTTTAGCGCTGTATTTTCTGTTGACAGGACATGCAATTCAGTTTTACACCTTTGATATACAGAGGTTAGCCAGATGAATTTAAGTAAATACATATACACACATACCGAGGAACGAAGATCCATAAACAATACAAAAAAACTATATCTCTTCTTTTCAAAAATAATTAAGTTTCTTACTCTCAGTCCCTAGATTTTCAACATAGAAAAACCCTCTAAACCAAACCAAATCACTCCGAGCCCTTAACGTTGCCGGCACGGCACCGCACCGGAGATGTCTGCAGTTGGTAACAGACAGTTTGCCAGTAAAACGCTGCCTGTCCTTACATGAAATTTCTGACATCACTACAAGAAAACACCGCAATTCTGACGGCTATTCCGACGGAAAATGTATTCCTCGAAAAATTCTGAAGAAATTCCGAGGAAACCCAAATTTAAGGTTTCCTCGGAAAAAACTGACGAAATTCCGAGGACATTCCGGGGAAATTCTGAAGAAACCCAAATTTCGGATTTCGTCGGAATTTCCACGAAATATCCCGACGAAATTCCGAGGAAAGCTTATTCCTCGGAAATAACCGACGAAAATCCGAGGATTTATTATAGCCGTTGGGGGATTTTAAAAATTCCGAGGAAATTCCGAGGAACTAGCCGTTTCCGTCGGAATTTCCTCAGAATTGTCGACACATTTCATCTATAAATACAAGCACCCTCATCCTCTTCATTCACTCCATATCTTCATCCTCTCACATACTATTTTACACACGAATTTGATTGAAAAAAACATGTCTTCTTCTAATTATTTTCGTTCTTGGATCGATCGACCTCATTTGGATCCTAACACGAGATTTCTTACGGAAGAGTACCAAAGAGGTTTAGGCGAATTCATGGCGTTAGTTCAACGACAACCGGAAGCAAAATGGGTATGTTAAGATGTCCTTGCTCTACTTGTAAAAATAAAAAGGTTATAAAAGAGTTAGATGTTTGGACTCATCTATATTTGAGAGGGTTTACACGAAGTTACAAAGTTTGGTATCATCATGGAGAAACTGATTATGAATATGGTAGTACTAGCGAACCTCAGCCTGCGGTTAGGTTAGAAGAACCAATTAGAACGAATGTAGATTATGGTGTAGGTACTGAGCAGATGGTAAATGATCATTTTAGAGGGGAAGATTTACCCAATGCAGAAGCTAGGAGATTTTTTGATATCTTGGATGCAGGAAAGCAACCTTAGTACGAAGGTTGCAGAGATGGTCATTCAGCTTTATCATTTGCAACAAGACTGATGGGCATTAAAACAAATTATAATTTGGCTGAAGACTGTTAAATGCGATTGCTAATTTTGTAAAAGGTATTCTACCTGAGGATAATGTAGCCCCTGGTTCATACTACGAGGTTCAGAAACTGGTAGCTGGTCTTGGTTTATCGTATCAAGTAATAGATGTATGCAGCGATACCTGCATGATTTATTGGAGGGCGGATGAGCAGCGGGTTACATGCAAATTTTGTGGGAAGGCTCGTTATAAAGATACGAGTGGAAGAGTTCCAGTGCCATACAAAAGGATGTGGTATTTGCCTTTGACGGAAAGGTTGCAGAGGTTGTATCAGTCTGAACGCACAGCGCAACCAATGAGATGGCATGCAGAGCATTCAACANTCTGGATGGACAACGCATGGAAGGCTATCATGTCCATATTGTCAAGATAACACTGATGCTTTCCAATTAAAACACGGAAGGAAAACGTGTTGGTTTGACTGTGACAGGAGATTCCTACCACCTGACCATCCATATCGTAGGAGTAGAAATTTGTTTACGAAGAACAAGAGGGTGTTTGACAGTCCACCTCCGGAAATTTTTGGGGCAGATTTGTTGACACAGCTAAGGAATTTTGGTGCAGAAAGGACGCCAGACGTCGGTGGACATGTGCATTATCCGGTAGATGCTGTTGGAGAACTACATAACTGGCAGAAAAAGAGTATTTTCTGGGATCTGCCATATTGGAAGGATCATCTACTGAGGCATAATCTAGATGTCATGCATATTGAGAAGAACTTTTTTGACAATCTCATGAACACGATCCTTAACGTTCAAGGTAAAACAAAAGATAATTTGAAGTCAACATTGGATTTAGTCGATATATGTGCTCGTCCAGAACTTCATGTTGATGAGAATGGTAGGGCTCCTTTTCCTATATACCGACTGGATGCAGAGGCAAATGATGCATTCTTTGAGTGGATTTTAAAGGATGTAGAATTTCCAGACGGTTATGCATCAAATTTGCGTAACTGTGTCGGCAGAAACGAAGGAAAGTTTATCGGCTTGAAGAGTCACGATTGCCATGTAATGATGCAACGCCTCCTTCCGTTTGCCTTCAAAGAACTATTACCACGTAATGTTTATGAAGCAATTGCAGGGATAAGTGCTTTCTTCCGCGATTTATGCACGAGATCAGTGACTCTGGAAGGTATTGAAAATTTGAAGACTAACATAGCTGTGATCCAGTGCAACCTTGCAAAGATATTTCCTCCATCATTTTTTGATGTGATGGAGCATCTTGTTATTCACCTGGCAAGAGAATTGGAACTTGGTGGTCTAGTGCAGTATAGATGGATGTATGTGTATGAGCGCTATATGTTCCATCTGAAGAAGATGGTGAAAAATTTAAGTAGGGTAGAAGGTTCTATAGTCGCACAGATGATCAATGAAGAAACTTCAAACTTTGCCGAGTACTACTTTCCAGCAGAAGTGCATACCAAAAACAGAAAACCTGCTCGGCATGATGATAGAGGCGAAAGGGCAACATATTATGTTACGGTTCCAGACATCTTCACAGATGTTGGGCGACTTAGCGTAAAACCAAAGGACCATCGACTTACTGAGCAGGAGCACAGTCATTTGCAAATATATTTGCTCACCAACTGCGAAGATGTTCTTCAATATGAGAGGTAAATAAATTTACAAATTTTTATTTTAGCAAGTTGAAATTTAAATCTTAATTAATTAATTACATTATTGTATATGTACATGATTTATATGGCAGAAAAGCGGTTCGAACATAGACACGCCACAGAGGAGGAACTAGAAGAACTAAAGCAGAGAGAATTTGCTAGTTGGATGTTTTGTTATGTGAGTGCTTTAAAAAAATTAAAATATTATTTGTCACATATTTATACTAATTCACATATATTGAATGATATAATTTATATTAATAGGTGTCTGCTGGTATGGCGAGAGGTGAAACATTTGACGATTGGATACGCGAGATGGTGTGTGGACCAAAGTATGTTGTGAAGTCATATCCCAGATTCTGTACTCGAGGATATGCATTCACAACTCAAAAGAGGAGACGTTCAAGTACTACTTATGATGCTGGCGTTTGTTCTGCATCAGGAGATGATGTATACTACGGAAACATACTAGAGATTTTGGAAATCAAGTATCCGGGCATGGTTGGATTGCNTACTTATGATGCTGGCGTTTGTTCTGCATCAGGAGATGATGTATACTACGGAAACATACTAGAGATTTTGGAAATCAAGTATCCGGGCATGGTTGGATTGCGCTGTACTGTTTTCTATTGTGATTGGTACGACAGCACTCCGGATCGAGGTGTGAGGACAGATGCATTTGGTGTTACATCAGTACATTCGAGGCGAAAGCTGCAATATTATGATCCTTTCATTCTTGCTTCTCAGGCCGACCAGGTAATTAAATATATATATGTCAATTATTCAAATATGTATTAATATATATACTAAGTTACAAATTTACAAATATTTTTTACAGGTTTGTTATATCAAGTACCCCCGGGTTAGGAACAGAGATGATCCATGGGTCACTGTTACGTCACTCAACCCGAGGGGCCGAGTTCAGGGAAGTTCTGAGCTGGAAGACCCACTACAAACAAACACATCGGGTAACTTAAGTGCAATAGAAGATGTAGCTGCAGTTGTCCTTGTCGTCGATTTTACCGACTTTGGAGAGGAAGCCATCGTTCACATAGAGGATGAACCACAGATTGGAGAGTTTCACCACGATCCAGATTCAGATTTATCTGGTGATGGTGATAATGATGACTCGGAAACAGAGTAGTTGTCAACAATTTTTTTTTTCTAATAATATTCCGAGGAAATACCGAGGAAAAGCATTATATCCTCGGTATTTCCTCAGTACATTTCGCATTTAGGGATTTGAGTTTAGGGGTTATCTTCCTCGGAATTTCCTCAGAATTTTCCGAGTAAATTCTGAGGAAGCATGTACTTTCCTCGGATTCCGAGGAACTTCCGAGGAATCAAGACATTTGATCCGAAAATGACATTTTTTCCGTTTACAAATTGAACATGTGACTTAAATTAACCTTATTTACTGTCTTAGATTGATTATAAAGTAAAATGCTGATGTGTTTTAAAATAATAAACTCTCTTCCAATTATATAAACGAAATTCCTAAAGAACAAGATAAACACTTATACACTTTAATGAACGGAAACGACAAGACGTGTACTCGTATTCTAAATTTTGTAATTTCATGGTTTATGGGCATCTATTGAAAGAATCTTCAATGTTTTCCATTAAAAAACTGTCAAATTGTTCAAGCAATGGTGTACAGTATCAAAAATTTAGGTTTTGAAACCCCAAACAAGGGTTCCTCGGAATTTCCTCGGAAAATTCCGAGGAAATTCCGAGGAACCCTCCCACCAATAGGAAGACATGCAGAGCATATTCCTCTTTTTAAGTCTATTCCGAGGAAATTCCGACGGGCATATACATGTCCGTCGGAATTTCCGCGGAATTTTTCATTAAACGGGAAATCAAACCGCCAAAATATATTTCGCGAAAATTAAATTATAGGGATTCCGACGGAATTCCGAGGAACCCGTTTCCGTCGGAATCTCGGGTTTTATTAACCCGAGAGGGTTCTTCTTCCTCATTTCTCTTCTCTTCTCTCTCGCCACCGCGAATCTCCGCCTCTCTCTCGATTCTCCGACCCGAAAACTCCTCTCACCCGATCTATTTCATTCCCAAATCATGTAAGTCCTCAATCCCCATCATCCTTAGGTGTTTTGCTTAGGATTTGAAGTTAGTTTTAGGGATTTTAGATGTTTTAGATAGTGATTTTGTTAGGGTGATTGGTAGATAGGGGAATTAGATGGTGTTTGTGTGGATTGTGATGTTGTTGTTGTTGTTGTCGTTGATTTATAATTTTTTTGTTTATTAAATTTATTTTCGGAATTAAAAGTTTTTTTCTATTTATTAAAAGGTTGTTTTATATTACTAAAGTTTTTTTTTGTGATTAAAAACAATTTTTTAATTAATAAAGTATTTTTCCTATTTATTAAAAGG